TGTAGGGAACCCACATCTGCTGCCTGCAGCTGGGATGTGCCGTGGGGCTCTGGAGCCTTTCGACACCCCAATGACTCAGATCCCTGAGCCATCCCTGTCAGCAAACCCTTTTTCTTTTGAAAAACAAACAAGGACTATCTTTGAAATACCCAATTTTTCCCCATGCAGCTCCCAGCACAAGGGTCCCAAGCTGCCCCAGGCCACCCAGACATGTCAGGAGACCGGGCTGGTGTTTCACAGCCTGGGAGCAAGCAGCAGAGGACAGTCAATGCTGTCACTTAGCACCTTGTAACTGGGAAACCACACCCTGCTTTGCACTGTAGTTTGTGGCTTTGCATTTGTAACTGAAGAAAACTGAATGGTTACCAGACACTCACATGGTGCAGTTGACAGCTACTTCATCTTCCTGGGTCACATTTGTAAGAACTCTAAATAGTTGCATAAGAATTACAGGTAGAAACTGAATCATTACTTGGATCTCCATGGCGTGCAAACACTAAAACAAATGTTCAAAACACAGACATTTTTAGTTCAACATTTTGCAGATGTTAAATATTTATAGACCACAGACATTTCTGTGGCAATAGGACAGGCATTAGCGAATGCTTAAGGGTGGGGGCTTCAGCCTGACAGAGGACAGGAGAACTTGGACCCTTAGCAATGCTCACTGCCTGCCTTCCAGCTGACAGATCCCAGCTGCATGCCTTCGGGGAGCAACATAAATCACTTATGATGGGTATTAATCCTGCTCTCAGATGTGCCCAGGCAGCTATGACTTAATTAGAGGTCACATGCTATGATTTGACCTCAATAACCCGGAATTTAAGGCTGAAGTTTCACTCCCAATTGTTCTTGTCACTTGAGACAGGTTTTTGAAGCGACTAAGTCCCATTTTCACAAAACGCCTTTGAAGCATGAGACCTGATGCCCAAAAACTTGCAGCAAGATTTTTCTCCAAAGGGATAGCTTGCTATAGGAAATGGGATTTAAGTGACTTGGTAAAGGTCAAGATCATCTGGTGCATACACCCTCCACCCATCTCCTAGACCTCTTTTACCTGAATCTCACAATATGAGTCTGGGAAAGACAGTGCGTTTCATTTTCAGTTTTCAAACCCACAAATATAATGGAAGGTTATTAAATCCATATCTAGGTATTTAAATTACTGAAATTATTGAGGTATTGGTGGTAAGAAGCCCTCACTTGTGGTTAGCATGTAAATGTCTCCCTGTCTGCAGGCTGCAGCAAGGTCACTGTGGCTGGGCAGGGCTGGGATTTATCCAGCCCCTTGACAAAATGCTCACAACAAAACAACTGTTCTTTTAGTGCTTGGCTTCAAAACTTGCCATTATTTCTATTTATTTCTTAAAATATTTACTCATTATCTGAAACACACCCAGTAACTTTGTGATGCTAAAGCCCCACTGCTGGAAGTGGAGCTGTTGCTACAGCAGCATTCTCAAAAACAGGCAGTTAAGGAAGGAAACAAGGACAGTAAGGAGCCAATAAATATATTCCCTGCAGAAGCCTTTGCTGGACCTGCTCCAAGGCCCTTACTCATGCTGCAGCAATTGCCAGAAAGTTGGGTCTGGGTCACAGGTCATCTGTGGTCAAATTTAACTGACTCATAATCTCACAGATCTTTTTCAGTCTGAAAAAATATAAAAATCCTGTCTGTAATGGATAATGCTGAAAACAAGGAACTATGCTACAGTTTAAAGGTCTGAATCAGATCTTGGGCAGCAGGGAAGGAGCGTGTGAGCCCACCAGGAGAAGGGTTTGCCATGAGCAATGCTGACTACTTGTTTTATCTGCTGTGAAAGGCAGTGGGAAACAGCACACAGACAGCAGACAGTTGTGTCAGTAGGCAAAGGTAAGAACATTGCACAATGCACTGGTCCCAGTGTTGCAGGGAGTGCATGTTCCTACAGGGCAGGGCTCTGGGCATTTACTGATGGTCTCTAAAAACACAAACGAAGCCCACCAACAGGCACTGTTCACCTTTAGGTATTTAATAAGCTCTCCTGGCACTTCCTTAGCTCCTGCCTGAACCAGCTGGCAGTACTGGAAGAATTTGTGCAAGTGCATGTCCTGGAAGAGAAGAAAAACAAGTTAAATGCAGCAGCCTCAGTATTTGTCAATCTGTACTCTACAGCTTACACTCAAAAATCTGCTGATGCACCTGCTGCAGTGGGCCCTGTTCCTAGCAAGCCCCAGGTCACTACCTGTGGCACTCTTGGTCCCCAGCTGCCATCTCCCAGGACTACAGTACTTCTCCCTCCCTGCCTTTGCCAACATACCCAGCCACCGCTCATCCTCTGGCTCTCAACTAATCTTGAAATTAAGCAAAAAAACTGCCAGCAGTGTTAAAATTCTGTGGTTGCACCACCCTGAGCTGCAGTCCGCATCCAACCCTGGCCTTGAGAAGCAGGAGCCCTCCTCTCCCAGCCATGACTCTTCGAGATTTTCTCACCATCTGCCTCACCGACCTCCTACTGTCCATCTGAGGTAGATTCTCCTTCCCACTCCTCTCCCTCCTCCTCCAAGGTTCCATTTAATTACTGGGTTATTTAACCCTGAAAAGCATCTGGGAATGTAATTTGATGGGGAGTGGAACTACAGTGCTGCTCCCAGTACAGAATCAGTAAGACCCTAAAACAGGTTTAGACAATGCTGAAAGCCAGTTGCTGTGAATGTAAATGCAGCTGATTACAGCCAGAATGGGACAACAAGCCCTGCTGAGGGCACTTCCCCATGAGCAGCGCTGACAGGAGGTGCCACAGAGCAGATCCCTGCTGGGGATCTTTGCTGCGCATCACATGAAGCCTGGGGAAGTCCATCAGTACCATAAGATAGTGGAACACACTTGGTAAAACAGCCTGAACTGGTTTCAAAGGGAAATCAGGACTCTTGTTTTCTTGTGTCTGCTGTTATCAGAAAACTTTGTTTTTTTAAATTTAATAAACAAGTCTAGTACTTGGAGAAACCTCACATTTCCACCAGTCGTCTCTTTTGCAACATCGAAGCAGCTCGTTTGCTCAAATGTTTCCTTGGTCCTGCCAGTTACAGTGCAATTGGCCAAGAAAACATCAGCCTCTCCCTAGGTTCATTCACTCACACAACTGTTTCATCACATTTGGACAAAGGAGCAGAGCCCTGCATGTTATCCCAGACCCGCTGCTACAGAAGTATCTCAATGCTGCTCTGCAAACACAGGAACCTCTTTCCACAGCACCTGCAGTGCAGCAGTCGTGGAGATACAGCGATTGCTTCCTTTGCATGAGTGTTGAAAGTCTTTAAGAGCAACTTACCTGGGTGTAAATGGTGGAGTCCAAATGGATTCTGATTTTAAACAGTGGCTTTGCTCCATCCACCCACTTTGCATCCACGCTGGGCTGCTGTGAATAGAAAAAACATTCAAGTAGTTGGTTTCAGACTGTGGTGAGAAGGTTGCTCTGTGCAGACAGAGACCTGGTCAGAAAGTGATATGGACTGGGGTGGAAGAAGGGGTTCCCCCCCCAGCACAAACACCAGTGACCTGGCTGCAGCCACAGCAGGGCAGAGGGGTCCCCATGAGAACGTGCATGCAGAGCACGTGCCTGCTCTCCTGCTCTGCACCATGTGGAACAGCCCAGACCAGCCTGCCACAAAAATATTCCCTGAAACCTACATAACCACAGAAAGTGGAATTAAAAGTCTCCCATCTCCCTTAAGCCTTGGAGGCTGCCCTGCAGTAGGGAACTTTCCATCTGAGCAGAGCACCAACAGAAGCCCTGAACTCAGAGCAGTAACAAAAGCTCAGCTTTCCTCTTCCCTTTACGTTTAAGTCCATTTTAACTGTCCTTCTTACCTTTCGTGACTCTGTGTCCCCGAGACCTAGGTAGCCAGGTGGAAGGTTGGATGAAACCGGCAAATGTCGCTCCAGGGTGACAATCCGTCCATCCTTCAGCAACGGGACCCAGGCATATCCCACTGCGGAGGCAACCAGTGACCAGATTTAGCAGACACACAGTGATACACATGTAGCTCCAGCTCCAGAAAGAGCTGTGTCTCACCCCGAGATCAAACTCGCAGCTGTGCAAGTGGCTTCAACAAAGCTGGGATCAACCATGGCAGCCTCATTAAAGCACGTTTTACATGGTGACTTGGTGAACAAAATTCAGACACTGCACAACCAAGATCAGGAGTGTGTTTGAGGGGCAGAAACTGTGCAGTGAGCCATGGTTGAGCACCATGACGAGGGTCCTCCAGTCACCTGAGGCCTGGCTGAATGGAGAGGCATCCCAACCAGCGGGACCTGGGTGCACTCAGTCTCTTACATACACCCAGCATTGGCAGGGTCAGCCTCTGAGGTCCTGATTTTGTTGGTGGCTTGACTGACAATAGCTCATTCATGCAAGTCAAGAACACGCAGAAGTAGCTGCCTAGATTACAGCAAAAATTTGAGCTTTAGCGTACACTAAAAACATTGTGTTTGATTCCAGTTTAGATCTATGATTTGTATTAGGTTGCTTTCAAAAAAGAAAATTCAGATAGGCTAGTATTTTAATAAAATATTTTTTCATGTCCCTACATTCATTTCCTAGTGGACTCTTACACTCCAACAGTAGTAATTTAAGCAGTGAACATACCTTGAGTTTCAACGGTGTCCTGTTTTTTCGATGTTGCCTTTGTATTAATTTCACAGCTGACATGATAGAAGGTGAAAAGCAAATGATGCTTTTGATGGAGGTGAATTGGAAGCTCAATTTTAATCTAAAATGATATCATGATAGATAAGACTGTATTTTTAATTGTGGAGTAATATTTTAAGTTCTATTTCATTTCACAAATGCTATGTTGTATGCAGTTACACAAGACACATTCTTACCCATCTTAAACACCTCCTGGCTAACATTTTCATCACATTTGCACATTACTTATTAATGGGGGTGTGTGATTGGAGTGCACAAAGCGTGACAGTAAAGACAGCAGAAAACAAACTGGCATTAAAAATTGACAAAGTCTCTGGCTTTGCTGAGCTCTTCTACTGAGGCAAAGGGCTGGTGATTATTTATACCCATATTTCACCCAGCCCTGCAAAAAGAGGTATCCTGAAAGGCCCCTTGGCTTTGTAGCATCCAGGGAAATCTGTTATTTCCCACCATTTCATTTTTACCTCATCATAGAACTCTGGACTCTGGTTGTGATGCAGCACGACAGCATACGCGTTTGTGGTCAGGAGATGGCCTCCAGGTTTGCCATATATACACTGGAAACACAAATGAAGAGCTGAATTGAGGGTTGCTACCATCCTTAATTAGCTGTCTAAATTAAAACAGCAAGCATGGAAACTTGGTGCTTTCCTATTGTCCTGCTCAGCCTGCCTGGCACGCAGTACACAGCAGCCCCATTAACAGGTACCCACCTTTAACGGCCTGGCATCAGCTTCATCTGAATCCCTGAACTCAATACAGACAGCAATATTCCTTGCCTGAAATGGGTGAGAACAAGAGGATGAGCCATTGCTAGAGGTCAGCAGCATCACCCCAGACCACGTTGATTCTGACTGCAGCCTGCTCTTCGGGTCACTCACCTTTGCAAACACTTTTTGGTTCTCGTACTTCAAATGCAAGGGGTAGACGTAGAGGTGGTTTTTGTAGACTGTGAAGGGATAACAGTATTTTGCAACTTCTGGGACAAGCTCCTCCACTTCAACTGCAATGTCCTCACAGCTCTTCTCAAAAGGCTTTATAGGAATATAAGAAGCTGTGACACAATCTAGAAGAGAAAGAAAGCTTAGATAAGCACACACCCCACAAACATGGGAAGTACAGCTTGTGTGAAAGGAAATTTGTGATTCTGAACCTCTCCTATTGCTCTTGAGCATCCAGTTCTCTTCACATCAGAGGGTCATGTGTGTTGACCAGGCAGCAGGACTTGGCCTGTCCCTGTTGAAATGATTAAGGGAAAATTCTCTCCTTGATCATGCAACATGTGTCATTCCCTACTGCATTAGCAAAACTAAGAAAAGACAGATGCATGGGCACCACGGGGCTTTGCTCTCCTTGACAGTGGGGACTATAGAAGCGGCACTTAAGCTTTGAGCAAAGTCAAAGGGTCTTGTGAATGACACCCATGGAGTGATACTGAAGACATCACAAGTCCCTTCTTTGCCTCAGTTTCTTCACATGCAAAGTGAAGAATCACACTGACCATGTTTGTGAAGCCCTCTGGTGTTATGAATTAAAAATGTTACACGAGATTGCTGTAATAATAATGGCAAAGACAGGCAGGTGGATTCCTTTAGATCTAGAATATGACAGCCAAACTGCAAAGCAGACGCAACCCTCAGGTAAACCTCTGCATTTGGACCACACCCCTCCACAGAATCCATCAGAAAGCCTTACAAGTCAGTGGTCGGGCTGATTTTCTCATTTCTTATTGCAGCTCTGAGATAGTCTTATTAACGAAACAGCAAAACTCCACATAGAAGGATTAACCCCCAAGGCTAAAGCCATCAGCAGTTATTTTAAGATCTAAGATTCTTACTTGTGAAGTCTAGCGGGATGTCTTTGATGACAATATTCAACTGGGCTGGAATGACCTGGAGTTTTGTCTTCTCTGGTCTGCATTAGGGAGAAAGGAACAAGAGTGTGAACCTTGAAAGCTTAGCTGCTGCACACATCAGCAGGGCTTTTTGTTACCCTCTGAGTATTTTAGAAATTGTTCTCTCACGCTTATGCTTAACTGTTTAAAAATGTATATTAAAATGGCTGCTCAGCCTCTGGATCAGTCTCTTACACTTACTTCTTATACTCTGCTAAAAGCTTCAGCATATCTTCGTTAGAGAGTTTGCCGCTGTCTTGCTTGTACAGAGGTGAGAATTTTCCTTCAGCATCAAGAGTGCCCTGGGAGTCTTTGAACACTGGTCTGCAGAAAGGAAGAGAGACATTTCTTAAACGCTGGTAAATAAGCAGACACCTCAGGCTGAAGGGTGGTTTATAAGGCAAGAGGTTCACTGTTCTGTGACTGATCTGAGCGCCACCACACCTCCTGATCACCCTCCCATCACTGCATGGTGCTTAGATCCCACACAGTCTGCAATCCACCGTGCCACAGAAAACTGGATGGGACACCAGCCATTTCCCTTCTCTCCAGTCTGGAGAGAAGTACATACCCAGTCCAGCTCAAAGCCTGGTCTACAATCACAAATGCCCTTCAATGCCCTCCCACTAAAACCAACTGGTAAAGTATTATCCTGGTTGTACATGGAGTTGGAGCACAGAAATCCTCCTAGGAAAGGAGTGCACTATGAAGATCAGTTTCAGGACATACATCAGCTTCCTCCTGAACCCAGAGCAGGAGATTGGACTCTGCCCTGGATGAATACCAGCATATTTGCCCTTGAATATCAAGGCTACAAGTATCTGTGTACAGCAGGAACATCAAGGCATTCATATTCCCTTTCTGTCCAAACAGCTTCCACCGAAACCCACAGGGAAACTGTTCCAGGGATGCAGAGCAACACAGCTCCCCACACCAGCCTGTTGACCACTCAACTCCTTGGTCTCCAAATGCAGCTCTTTACCCAGCAGGAACAAATCTGAAGCCTGTCAAAGTCAATGCCCACAGAGAGCCCACCTTTAGGCTGAGGCACCACTCGAAAGAGGGCTGAGGCACTGTGTGGGCCGTGTGCTGGCTCCCAGGATTGAGCTGCCTCCCAGAAACATCATCTTGAAAGTGTCACAGGAAAATTCAGCTCAAGAATATACATTGCAAGCTGTGTACCACCAAATCCCAGCCCACGGTGACAGTCACCTGGTGTTCCTGTGTCATTGCTATCTCTTCTCAGCACCAAGTAGCAATTTAGCAATAGGAGGCAGTGGCAGAGGGATGATCTCACCTTCAGGCCTTCCTCTGATGTGAGATTTAAGGGAATTAGCGCTTATGTACTTTATCACTCCCAGTAAAAGAAGAGGGAATGGGATCACTATCTCCAGTCATTCCCAAGAATGTTAATTAAAGCAGAGTCTAAGATGGGACTTAGATGGCTGATTGCCACTGACAGGCTAGGAGGTCCTTCACACTCACCCTGTCCCTGGCAATGGCTGGTGCCAGGAGAGAATTTCTGCACCAATTCCTGTGGTAGCATGGGATGGTGTAATTCATCCCCAGGAATGTTCTGCCCTGCTAGCAGTAGCTACAGGTCAGCAGATAGGTTATCATTTTCCCAGCACTGTTTACTTTTTATTATTTTGCTTCTAATTCTAGATAGAGGATTTCAGGCCAATCCCCATTCTGCCTTGGCAATCGGAGCCAGATTCTGCCCTCGGCTGCAACTTCACTGACTTCAGTCCCTTGGCCCTTGGCCCGCTTGGCCGGATCACCTCCCGGATAACTCACAGCATGGCCAAAGCGCAGTCTGAGGTGACTAACCTGGCAGCCCAGCCGAAGGGCATCCTGTACTGTCCCAGACGGCTGCACACCTGCCTGGCCACCTTATGGACCTTCTGGGCAGTCTGCAAAAGACAAGAGAGGTTAGTGTGTGCCACGGCTTCCACGCTGCCCTGGGAAAGGAATAAAGAGCACTGCACTCTCCAGGGAGAAGAAACTCTCTGTACTCCACCACACACAGCTCCCCAGACACACAGCACAACAGTCAATAGACATCCCTGTCACTTCACACCATGCACATTTATTAGTTTTGCAAAGCAATAGCAAACGTGTTGCGGGCACAGTCATATTAAAATTCCTCTTGATCCTGCATTAAACTGTCAGGGTATTAGTATTTTTTTTTCTAAAGGGTTATTACTTTATTTTCCAAAAGTGACTGTAATTGGCTCATCCTATATAGGCTTATGAAGTGTGCTGAGGGAAAAGCCATTGCATACCAGGTGTTCCATACATTGATTTTCCAGGGACTAATTTTGACTGGCTGCAGCAGGTACACAGAGACTGACGCCAGCGGCACCAGAGCCCTTCCCTGACCACCCTTTGCATAAGTTCCCCCATATGATCATGGCACCCTGCATGAGCAGGGCAGAGGCTGGGCAAGTAGAATAAAGGGTGAAGCCCATGTTCTGCTGCTACTAAAACACTGCTGTTCCCAGCTGGAGTGAGCCAGGACCAGTCCAAGATGCTGTGTGCAGGACCATCTAGCAGTGCAGCCCCTTTCTCTGGGGACGAAGTGTCCCACATTTTTGCTGCCAGCCCAGGCTTTGCCTTGTTGCAGTGTAATGGGGAAAGGCCCCCTGCCCCAACTGCTTGGTTCTTTCTAAAAATCCTCTGCCTCTTTCCAGGCAAATGAACCATATCTCCCAGGATAGCCTGGCTGAAGCCAGCCTTGGAACAGTGCAAGCAGCAGAACAGATGAAGACCAGTATTTGCCTGAAAGAAGCTAAAGAGCAGCAGAAACAACCCATGTTTCAGACCACAGCAGCAGACAGTGTCACTAAGCAGATACTCCTATGGTCCCATCCAATACCTTCCCCGGGTCGGAGTTTTTAATGTACGGCTCTGCACAGTGCGTAATGCTGCCTTGCAGCACCTTCTCCACACGGGCCACCAGGAAGATCTCCACGTGTGGGTCGGTCACGGAGAAAACCCCCTGCAACAGATAAACAGCAGGTTGTCAGAGAGCAGGAAACCCTACCTGAACTGCTGGGCTTAGCCCCAATTATCTCGCTGTCCCCTCTCAACCCACACAGACTCTGCTCTGGTCACTTCTGTGTATGGGCGGTGGGAGCTCACAAGGCTTGAGCACGGTCAGGTCTTGAAAAACTCTGCCTGGTGCTTTGCCTATTGCTGCCAGCAAGCCCAAAGTGGTAATCAGCTTGAGACACTGACCAAAACATGACAAAACCCCACAGCTCAAGAGAAAAAGCTGACTTCTGCTTCTCCACACAGTCAATAACAACACACCACAATGCTACTGAACAGCCACAGCCTCAACAGAGATACAGAATGAGGAGAAAGTCAGTTCTTCACCCGTTTTATGTAGCGCAGGCAAGACTCAGGGACCCCGTGCACAAGGCTCTCGCCTGGTGAACGTCCCTTGGTGTCTTCCACTCCGGATGCGGAGTTACCCAGCAGCATGTCACGGACAGACGGAGGGTTCAAGTCCACGTGGAAGTCAGCTGAAATCTTGCAATTGTTTTTCAGGTCAAATAATGCCAAGCTTAGGAAAAACGGCTCAACCTGGAAATTTGATTGGATATATATGTCAAAAAAAATTGCATGCTACAGGCTCAAGAGTATCAACATGGGTTGCCCTCCTAGCTAGGTTTGCCTTCTGTATCTGTTGGTTCCTTTAGTTTTGTACACCAGCGTTTTACAGAATTCTTACAGACAATCCATGTTATTATGTATTTATAAATACATAAAACCATTATTTTTTTCCTGTGTCTTCTTGAATTTTGATCTAGTCAATTTGAACAAAGTTACTTTAAAGACATCAATGAAATATAAAGAATGAAATCCATAGGGTTTTTCATATAAGTGATAAACTATGGAGTCGGGAAGATGACCCTAATCCATCAGAGCTGTTTATCCTCTGGAATGAGAAGGAAATCAGTTTAAGTGTGTTTATGATCACATGCTAAAGACCACTTTACTTACTGACCAAAGTCAATCAGCTCTTGATAGACCAACTGCAAGACACTCAAAATGTTCCTCAACTGCTCTACGCCAGGCAGCACAGGAACACAGTTAGCTGTCCCAGCCAGGAGAGCTCGAATACAAGGCTAACACTGCTGAGGAACCGCACGTACAAAATCTGCCAACTCATTTGTAGCTGTTGACCTTGACAGCGCAAGGCAAGTGGCAACAATTCCATTGATTTTTAATTCAAAGATCCTAGCAGACATGTATCCCTGTGAAGATAAAAGTGAAGTCCTGAAGATAAGACTGTAGTGTGTCTGAGACATTACAGCATAACTTGGAGGCACTGCATCAGTACTAATAATGTGCTGATTAGGTCTGACTCTAGGCCTGATTAAGGATGAATAACAAGAATTTCTGCTATCAGCAATGCATTCATCTGCTGGGAGTTACCGAGGAGGACAAGCCTGGTGTACTAGCTGCGAGCTGCCAACATGAAACCATCACAAAAAAGCCTCTGCAATTCTAAAGGCATCAGACAAAGTGCCATCAGCAGAGATGGGGCAGCGCCAGTGCTGCTGCCTTCCCTGCGGTGCTACCTGCTGCTCTGGCACCTTTGTGCTAAAGCAGGATGTGATAACAGGGATTATGTTTTGGGAGGAAAGACTGGAGGAGCCTGGTCTGTTCAGCCTGGCAGAACAAAGGCTGAGGAGAGATGTAATAGCTGTCTACAGACATCAGAGACTCAGAAAACACCAGGAAGAGCTTTTTAGGCTAAGGCACAACTTTGGCACAATAACAATTGAATATAATAAAGTGGCTGTGAAGATGGTTAGGCTGGGAGTCAGAAGAAGGTTTCAGAACAGGGAAATCCCTTGCCAATAGGGGAAATGAGATAAAACACAGCCATGAGTGGTTTGAGATGGAGCTCAACCATTTACCAACAGGACTTTGACAGGGACCCAGAACATGGCAGATGCATGCTCCCCATTCCCTATGCCTCTGAACTGCTGGTTTCCCAGCAGTCCCAGTTCCTGTCATGCTGAGACATGTCAGGACAGACTCCCTCCCCAAACATATTTTTGGAACACTAAAGTGCCAAGGCAGATAAATCCTGCAATGACCCTGGGCCAGCGGCCACTGCCTGTGCAGGTGCCATTGGAACTCATGGCAAAATGGGATGTTTTTATCCAACCAGGTTAATCTGTTGAGGCTTTTTCTTGCCAGTGAGGAGAAAGAAGCCAAAGCAGGACATGCCAGAGCTCCCCTTACGTTGGTGGGTCCTCCTTCCGACCTGTCGCTGAGCTGAGCGAGGAGGTTGAGGGAGAAGTCCTGGCAGCACACCACAAAGCGCCTGCTGCACTTTTCCTCAAATGGCTTCACATCTGGCTCGATCCCTGAGAAGTCCAGCCTCTAGACAGCAAACAAACAAATCTGGTCTCATTAAAAAAGAAGATAACCCCCTGAATAACATTAAGGGATCACATTATAGCCAATGCTATCTTAACCAATTTTTTTAAAGAGCTGCGAAAGGTTCAAGACGTTCACAAATGAGTGCCACTTGGTGATGTTGCACAGATGTGTTCAAGACATGAAATCATGGGGATGTATCAATTTTTAGCACTCTGGTTTGTAGAGCAGACAAAACTAAACCTCAGTATGATTTCAGTTCCTCCCTGCTTTGCTGTAATCCTGGGGATCTTCCCAAATGCCATTTAGAGCTTGGGGAGGAAACTGGAACATACACTCAGAAAAGTATCTTCCACTTTGAAGATCTGACTAGTTTAAGAGATGGTCCCTGTGGCTGAAATAGAGAGAAGGCACACACCATTGGGATCATGAACAACATCTTGAAGTGGAAGGCATTTCTAGATGCACAGCAATAGCCAGCGTGGTTAGAAACAACAAAGACTGTCTGCAGAGCCAGCTGGGAAATCCGAACAGTCTTGATTATAATCACCTCCTTCCTAACGCAGAACACCCATGCCTGGTCTGTGCCTCAACATCCGCCCTTCCTAAAGAGCGGATACATGAGACCAAATACCATCAGCCAGATAAGGACCTTCAGCCTTCACCCTACCCATCGTACTGGGCACTGGGGACACAGAGCTCCCAAACACCCCTAAATACCAGCACGTCTCTCAGTGACAACCTGGCACAGTCCTATTTGTTTATTCCGCTGTAGAAACCTGCATGCCAAACTTAGGGGGCTGGTATCTCCTGATCAAGTAATTTCAGCAAAATAGGCTGCAATTGTTAATCCAATTCTGGGAAACTCTTCTTATTGTTTGCCCGATTTCCTTTCAATGAGGAAAGTATGTTACAGGCACACGTTCCTGCTCCCAGTTTCCTTCGCACAGGCACATAAGTGTGCACGTACACACCAGCACTGACCAGGGCAGTGACTTTGAAAGCCCAGTGTTATAGCAGATCCGATTGACCCTCACCAGAATGAAGAGCTCTGAATTCAGGCAATGAATTCAGCCTAACCATTTGGTTAAGTAAAAAAAGGTATCTTAGATGCTCCACATTGAATAATACTTCCATTTTTATTACCTGACTAGAATACAGGAAAATTCTCAAAGCTTCTCATATTAAAAAAAAAAAAAAAAAAAAGTCTCCTGGATGCTTATCTTCTTCCTGTTAAAGACCTTAAAGAAGTGCCATGAGAAAAACTAATTTTGTACAACTAAACCTTTTGAAGACTAATTACATTTCCTTGTTAAACTGGAATGTTATTTTCACAGGTGTGAACAAGCCAAAGCATGCCAGAAGTAGAACCAGAAACTACAAAATAACTTGGAACAGTTCTCTGAAACTGTGTTAACAAATGTAGCTCGTTCCATTGAAATCCCACAAGTGGACCTTGGCAAACAGCTGAGCAAAGATGTAAAAAGCTGAGAAGAAAACAAGCCAATAGTCAATGAACCCCTACTCCAGTGCATAAGAACAGCATGGGGTGCTTTTTCTGTTTGTATTTCCCCTACATCTGAAAACTCCTTGAAGACTGAGGCTCTCCCTGTAAACCCCTGTCATGGTCTTTAACATCACTGCTCCCTACTCCAGACACACTGAGCACACGCAGCATTGCAGGTGTCCTTGCAATACCACTTCTACTGCTTCTGCAACCATGAGAACCTCCCAGAGGCCCAGATGATGGGTTTGAAATCCAGCAACATCAAGATGCATCACACAGAAGCCAGATGTCTGAGAGTCCTCCCTTTATTTGCGTTATCACCTGAGCACTGACAACTTGTTCAGCTCTCAGTGGCAGGGACACGGTCTGCACTTCTGTTCTCCAGTCCACAGAAAAACACACTGCCTCTGCCGGTGAGTGGTGTGGCCATGCAAAGGAACAGGGGAGGCACAAAACCAAGGGAGCTCTTACAGAGAGCAAAACCTCACATTTGCAAACATGAGGATGTTTACCTGGACTTCTGGGTCAAAAGAAAAGAGGTTTTGTCTTCCATCATTTCTGCTCAGTTTGTTCAGCTGATCTGTTTCTCTTCCATACTAGGACAAAGGAAAGCACTGATATTACTGCCCGGCCACACAGGGGCAAACATTTGTTATTTGGAAAAAATGGAAGCAAAACAAAAGAAATATTTTTCAGGTTCCTTTTGTGATATGTGAGACGATGCAGAGCTTCTCAGCTATAGTCACCAACACGGTGGGTGACAGTAAAGCCATGTGGTTCTGCCAAATGAGAAACCAGACAGAAGTAGACAACCACACTCTGAATCACACAGGAGGTGGCTGCCACCTAACTGTCCCTCCCCTCCCAGGGCCTGTCACCCCTGCCAAGCAGGAAGGAGCAGCACCAACCACAATGGCCCTTAATTCGCTAAGTCTGGTTCTTCCTTAAGGGTCCCACACTGGGAGGTGAGGAGTGTGCAGCCTTAAACCATGGAGCTCCATCCCTGAGACAGGTGAGATAACAGAGACCCCAGTAGCACTTGGCACCTGCCCAGCTCCCCCAGAGCTGAAGACACAGAATGTGGAAAATCCCTTTGAAACACAGTGTTTAGAACTAGCTACAGGCTGGGAGAGTGATCTCTGCAAACACGATACCTTCATCAGCTCTGGATGCATGCTTCTCTCCAGGCTCTCCAGGATGTTCTCCGATTTTCCCTGCGTGCTTGATTCATCATCTACAAGGACACAAAAACCAGATGTTTAGAACAACTGCAGGAGCACCACCCTGCCAGAAAGCATCCTGCAATATTTGCTTACAATAGCAGAGAAACAGTTTATGAAGACTTTTCCATTCCTCAGGAGTAAGATTTTTCCATACATTACTAGTACCAGAGTGTACTATTACAACCTGCTAGGTCTTTCCAAAGCAGAACTTCAGCACAGAGCCAATTTTCCAGAAGTTCTGAAATTTTGCCATGGATTTCCCATCCAGAAGAAGGGTCATGTTTCCCTCTGCTTTTATTCCTCAGAATATTGTCTACATTATACTAAGTCCTTTTGCACGATATCATTTGTTAGCCACAATTCTTGCTTTCAATCCAGAAAGAAAAGTAGATACTTCTCCAGGCACACTGCTTGCATCCTGCTGGAGAAGGGTGAAGGGAGGTGTTTATTTATAAACTGACCTTGCACAGATTCCACAGTGTCTTTCTTCTCTTGCATCAAACTCTCAGTATTGCTCTGAATGATTTTTTTCAGAGTTACCAGCCACTCTTCCATCTCCTGCTCAGTTTCAGCTGCCAGATAGTGGCTGTACTTGTCTATTGTCTTGAGTTCAAATGCATAACGGCGCATTTTAGGACACTGAACAACAACAACAAAAAAAACAAACAAGAAAGAGCAAGATTTGTATCATGTTTTCTTCAATGACTCAGCACAGTACCTGCTTCGTCTCTCTCATCTCAGGATAAAAGCATCCTGAACTGAAATGTCATGACAGTGAAAAAAAAAAATCACATAAGGATGCAAGCAGCCTCCTTGACAAAGCACTTCTCCTGCATAATCACAAAGGGCTTCACGGCTGCGATCAAGCAGTACACAGCTCCAAAGCTGCCAGCTACTCTGAGAGTGGAAGCAAGCCAGACTGAACCACTGAGGAGCAGCAGCAAGCTCCTTCTTATGTCATTAGACCTTTAAGATTTACGTAGAGAAGTCAGGAATAGGATTTGTCTGACACAGTAATGTTGTACTCCAGGACATTCAGAGGCATTTATCTTTAAACAAATGGTTCAATGGAACTTTTCTGAGCTCTGCTGGCCTTTAAACAGCATTTTCCAATGAAAAGCCAAGGTGAATCTGGTGCAACTTGGGAAGTACATCCTGTACATCACCAAGGCATGTGCACTACTGCTTTTACTGAGTTCAGAAAGATAAATGGAAACACACTGCTCTGAATCATCCATGCTGAAGCAAACTGTCACTGTAATTTAAGCTGCCCTGTACCAGCTCCACCACACTCAGTGCTTGAAGCTTCTGCAGACAGCAATGCCAGAAGACACAGCAGCAATCCACTGCTGCACTTCAGTCTTAGTGTAACAAAGCCAACCCAGGTTTAAGCCCTATAGAAATACATTACAAGCCCTTTGCGGGTCTTAAGTCCCAAAGGGCTGCACATTTGCATGGACCTATCCAGACATAATTTAAGAAACAAGACACTGGCATGAGCAGCAAACAGGTGGAAGGTGTCCAAGACTAAGTCACAGCATCTACTTACTGGTTTCAACTCTCAGGGTGTCTCGGAAGGCACCTGACCTACAATAACCAGGTAAAGGAGATGGACAGAGCAGGGAGACAGCAGATGACACAACGATGGAGTACTTCAAACTTACTCTGACAGCAGTTCTTCCACTTGCTGTCTTCCTGGCCAAAAGTATGGCACCTGTATGAAACTCCTTGCCTGCCTTTTAATTAGATGGGCTGACAGATCGAATCAGGTCTGGGTTAGTTTGTAAATCCATGCCTTCACCCCTTGATTGCACAGAGCTTGAGAGAGCATTTCTGTCTCAGAGCTGGCAATGCAGAAGCTCATGTAGAGCCATGCAGAAAGCACACCTACCTGAACAACATCATTGCAAGCGTCCAAGAAAATACAGCCTTTGGATTCTTTTGAAATTTTCTCATCTTTGTAGGAATTAAGAATATAGGAGCCATCTGTGAGTTGTGACAAGTAGAAATACCTCCTCTTGAATACCTGCAAAAGACCAAAGTCTTGCTTATATAAGCGTTCACTCTGTTGTGAATTACAAACCACAGTCTCAGTTTCAGTATCTGCCCTCCTGCTATTGAGGAAACACTGTACCAAGAAACACCAGTGACCCTAGACTGTTGCAGAATCACCCCTTTGAGTATGACTTGTTTTTGTAAAGAGAAATTTAATAATCTTCTTTAATTTTAATGTCCTTGCTGTTGTTATAAGTTTGCCCATCTAAAGCAAAGCCCTAGGGCTTCCAGCTCATCTCTCAGCTGGCTCCAGTCTCATTTATCTCTACAAATTAACACTGCATGGTAAATTCAAATCAGCACATGGCTTGAAGATTCACCCCATCCTAGAGCAGGTATTTCCAGAGCCTTTTTGATAAAAACCTGTTAGAATGACAAAGCAATTCTCCAGAAGACTTTGGAATACACACGTGGAAATTCCGAGCACCCAAATGCAAGACACTAATCCATTCAACTGCTTGGTTGTTTTTTGTTTGTTTGTTTTGTTTGGGGTTTTTTGGGTTTTCTGTTTGTTTTCATACAAACCTATTTTCATGAATGGGCTTTGTGTTCAATTCTCACCTCAGAAATCAGTAAGTTTGGGAGAAGCATTCCTACATTTGAGCTATTGATTTTTAGGAAGACTGTGCATTAATTAAAAAAAAACCCCAAAAAACCCCAACAAAAAAACCACCCAAACCCAAAGCTCTCCATTATCTCAGAACACCTTCCTTCATGTTTGTCAGCCAATAAGCACTGGACTATAACTCAGGGGAACATTTTGGCAGCAATTATGGTAGCACCATATGCTGTCAGGTCTGTAAGGAGCAGGGTGCATTTCACAGTTGCTAGATATCTGTGTTGGGAGACTCAGGAAGAAAGTCAGGGCAAGTGGCACTGTATTTCCATGTTCCACCTTCATATCTGGAAGATCTATGAATAAACACAGCATTTTTCATCCCAGATGGAAGACTATTGACTACCAGTAATTTCTTGCTCCCATCATTACTGACACTAGCACATGCTCAGTACAACCACTTGCTTACTTGCACAAAACTAGAAGGGAACATTGTGCTCTGGACAGTAACCTAAGCCCCCTGAAAGGCTCTGGCATCATTTAGATGAGCTGTGGAGATGCTCCAAGGGTCGTTGAGCTTTAAGTTTTATAAGATTTAACTAAACCTTTAGTTCAACAAAGCATAAAAATACATGGAAATCTGAGCGTGGTAAGCATTAAGCCAGCTTCAACACTGATTTAGCACTTCACTGAACTAATCTCAGAAACTTTGGCAGCAGATGCTATAGAAACCCATGATGGATCTCTCTCTAGATATTATAGGGTTGATATCCTTGCTGGGTATGGGATTTCATGCTAAACCATTTGCATCTTCTGAATTCAGTTCAAAAGGAAATGCAGAAGCAAGCAGCAAACACCATTCCTATGATCTTCCCCCCTTGTAAGCACTGCTGTCAGAAATAATTGTCAGAAGCCTATGATCATTTGAAATGAATACTATAAACCTAGGAGCAGAGGGAATATCCCCTCTGATCAGGCTACAGATGTTCTTGGTGAGCACGGCAATTGCAGAGGGATGGATAGAGAACTGAGGAAGTCCACTTGGGCAGAGATGAAAGAAAGAAAGAGAGAAAATCCTGACACCATGGTTGGAATGCAGCACACCAAAACACTGCAAAACAGAGAGCAACAGAGCTGGGCCAAACCTGGGAAGTTCTGTGCAAAGGAAAGGTTACTCTGAAATAAAGGTTGGCAGCTGTAGCCTAATTACAGTTTGCTCATGGGCCGGCTCTCCACAAAATACACTCTGCACATGCTTAGGGACAGTGTGAGGTACCAACAACAGTTCAGCATGTCACAGCAATGAAAGAACCAGCATCCAAAAAATGAGTGTGTCTGCTTCTGCAATAGCACAGAAGCTTCTCAAAGCAGTGATAAGGCAGAAGCCACTCCAAGTCCTCATATTTCTAGCATGTGCCTTAGGAGGTGTTTTGTAAGACACAGAAGTGACCAGGACCAGCTCAGAAAATGGCTACTGATTTTGGATACTTTGATACCTGAGTTTCACAAGAGACTCTGTGGATCTTATTAATTGAACTGAAGCCAGTGTCATTCAGATAACATCTCTGAAAGGTGGGTCTGAGATGCTGGGCATTGAGGTCAACAGTACCACAAGAGGCTCAGTCAAGAACAGACCCAACTAACTGCTTTGAGCTACAGGAGCAGAAACTGATTCAACCTTGCTGCTCAGAAAAGCAGAGGATCAGAAAACTCTTGTTCTGTCTATCGTCTTTGAGCTCATGAGTAGTATTTTTAAAACTCAAATTAAAATTAGCCCTATGAATGGTCCTGTTCCACTCCTCATAAAAGCATAATTTGTTGAATGGAGCCTCAAAACAGCTGAGCTTTTTGAGATTTATTAATACAAAGCAGCCTCACTGCAGCCATCCTTCAGACACACAGTTGAGCATAACTCCCTCATATTCTCTCTATGCTGTAACAAGGCAGCTGCATGGTGGAACAACAGAAGGGCTCATTGCCACAGCAAAAACCTGTGGAACTATTAAAAACCTCCATTGCAAAATCTAAGCAAAGTCAGCCGGATTATGTACAGCAGAGAACAGGAGACAATGCAGCTGTTGCTTCTAGGTCAGTAATGCTCCATCTCCTCAGATATATCACCCCTGCTTTTAAAGCAAAGACTTGTCATTTCAATTCAAAGCTCTCCTCCATACATATTTCCTACAACAAGGAAACTATCAATTCAGAAAGTCTTCTTTGCAGGGCAGCTGTTTCAGTTATTTAAATTGCCTTCCTCTTCTGGGCCTCAGCTGCTCATTCAGAAAACAATCTTGGTTTACTAGAACATGCTTTGCCTTTTTGTTGAGCTTGCCTGTCATGATTTGAAGTGCATTGATCTTATATTCTGAGGAGGGATGGGTCAAAAGCTGTTACCAGACTAGGTTTTCCAGTCCACCTTGGGATACTCTACAACAGGGATAGATGCCCATTCAAACCCAAACCCACTCATTGCACTCCTGCTAGATTTAGAGATGTGGCCTGAACTTTACCTTGTGCCCAATTCACGACTGGATCAAACTCACCTTCATGGTAACAGTGATTGTGCTATTTACATTTGCTTTGTGCAGCCAGCCTTGCTTTATCACACCACCCTTCTGGGAGCACAGGGACGAGGAATCCTGAAAGAGAGCAAAAGATCAGAAAAAGAGAATAAGTCAACTGCCTCCTGTGCAAAATTCCCCTTGGACACAAGGGATATGTCCCCCCTGGAAAGCAATACTGGTTTAACTACGGCAACACAGTAACATGTACAATGTACGTGTAACACGTACAAGCTACAGGTACAATGTTATCACAATAAATTTCAGGGTTATCTCTTTCCAAGAAAGAGGCAAAACAGGCTAGTTTGGGTCACCTTTAAAAAAGAAAGATTACATCTACACTGATAGAGCTGCACAGCAATTTTGCAATGAGGAAATGCAAGCTGGTTCTTAGGCAGTATTTCAAAAACCTGAGAGAGAAGGAAATTTTCAAAATGGTCTGTTTAGAAAGTTGCAAAATGCAGAACTCCAGACTTATTTTGTCATTTCCTTTTGTATAAATCCACCCTCCATTTTAAATTTAGACAAAAACCACCAAGCTCCAATAGCGGAAATTTAACTGACTGGTTTCACATTTATCAAAATAAAAAGTTTCAAGTGATCCAATCAGGCTGTTCTTGGCATACCAGCCGGCATTTCCATCTTTGCTCCTGTCCCATCGTCCCAGAAAAGGAGAACAGCTCTCCATCCATAATCCATACCTCCACTGGGAGGGAAAGAAATGAGATCCCAGACTGGTGAAAAAAAAAACTCACCCTGGGACTTGCAGTGGCTCAGTGGCAGAGGTGGACCTGGACTGTCTGCCAATGAGCTATGAAGGGACTAGTTTACATCGCCTCCTGCATCCCAAATGGCAGATTTTCACTCTTTTCTTGTCAAACTTCCAATGACAAAGTGTATTTTCTGAAGCTTTACTTCCCTGGGTAAAACAACCCATGATTTCTCCTTTAGAATGGTTCACTTTTTTTCACCAAGTTGTTTATTTTACTTGAATTTCCATTACATAATTCTAATGTAAATGCTCTGTTATGAAATTGAAACAGAATCCTTTAGCCAAAAGAAATAAATGCCAAAATATCTGTCAAAGCACTTGGAATACTCTTCCACAACCAACCTCATTAACTGCACTTGTTTGAGTATTTGGGACACTGACCAGAAGGAAAAAGGTCTCCACCAAATTTTGATAGCATATTTTCATTCTTTTGCTTTTTTTCAGAGGCATGCTGATAACATACTGCACAGCTCTGTCTCCAGCCCAAATTAGATATTATTAAAGAGGTAATAGCTCAAGTTAATGATAACTAACTGACAACATAGCCAAAAAAAAAAAAAAAAAAAAAAAAAGAAGGTCAAACTTGAAAATACATTTCCATTTGGGAAAAAAGCCATCCCAGTCCAGAACTGGGGTGTGCTGGGACATACAGAGCTATTGTGAGAAATGTGCATGAAACAGCCCCTTCAAACCTTCAGCTCTACAAGAAACAAACTTATCTTCTTCTCTGTAAGTTCCTCAGCAGCAGCATCTTGGTGCCATGTGGATTTTAAACAGCTGGGCTAAACTCTTACCACCATAAAAAAAACCCGACCTTAATGTCACATGCATGAATTAAGCTTCACATGGTACTCGAGACAGAAAAATTCTTCCTTTCAGTAGCAACGTGGGTTGCTATGCCACATGCACAGGGAAACATGGCATCTGCATCGTCCAAAATGATGACCAGGTTTGTGATGTCCCAATTGTCAGAGCTCCCAGGAATTGGAATTGCTCCAGGGCTGCAAATCTTCCCTGCAACAAGGTGATCACACACGTGCCAACTTCCAGAGGAAGCAAATGCCTCTGAACACTGGCACAGTATATACAGGACGGGACTGACACACTGTGTATTTGTTGGGTAGAAGTGACTAATTAAGAATTTCATGTTATGTGACAGAGCATAAACCTTTTTAAGATGAGGAGCCAATATTGCAGTGTAGTTGAAAACCAAATTGCCCACTCTTAATTCTGGACATGAAGAATTTTACTTAGTAATTGATTGGTTTCCTATTTTTCTCTTCTGCTGCTGCAGCATTTCAAGTGAAAAAGCCATGAGAAATATTATGGCTAATCTTCCAGATAATTCAGGAGATCCTTGGCTCCAAGAAATTATCTTGTCATACTTTGAAATAAATCACTGACTCAGTTTTGGTCCCATCTTCACAGTATGAAGCATCTCACCAGAAAACCATTCCTGGGAACGGAATTCTGACTTTGCCTTGTGAAATCTGCTTTTTAACTGATCTAGAGCAAAATACATTTAAAAAAAAAAAAAAATCTCCTTACCTCATCCTTTTCAAAGTCTTCATCAATTTCAAACACGTGGCTTGGAATCTTATCTGGCCTAAAGGATTTGCTGAAATCACAACACATTTTCATTTTTAATGACTGGGAAACGAGGGTCTTCCAAGCCAGCAAGTGGATGCTGGATCCAGAACCAATAGCCAAACTGCAAACTACAGAGCACAGCAGAATTGTCCTCCTGCAGAAGTTAGATTTCAAGTGACCTACAGCCCCTTCCAGCTGCAGAAAGCTAATTTCTGAGTGCATTTCATGGAAATTAAGCATAAGCAGTATGTAAATAGCTTTCTTTTTGTTAGCTGTCGGATTCTGCAAAGCTTTTGCTGACTTGCATTTATGCAACACAAGAGATGCAGCAGGCCAGCTTATCTTCCATCTTGCTGAAAAAGAAGCAAGATCAGACCTCAAGATTATTAATAAATTTTAATACGATCTGATCAACAGTGTTGCCCCATTCCTGTTTCACTTCTCTGCGAGATCCTCAGAACAGACTCACTTTGGCCAATTATAAAGAAAAATCATTGAACAAGCTGCCAGCTTGTTTGTGATGTCACACCAGCAGCCTCAAGAGTGGTTCAGACACACATGGAGCATGGGGAGCAAGAGCAGAGCAGGCGCCACCACTGAGAAAATCACAATCCAGCAGAAATCCGAGATATAACTACCTGTCTGAAAAACCTGATTAGCTTTGGGGCTGGAGTCACTGTCACAGCCCAGCATTTCAGAGCACGTAACTCTCCAGCACTAACAGCGATACTACACCACAGGACTGAAGTTGTAAAACAACATCTCAGTGATGGGGACACAAAGAGGATCTGCTCAGCATGGGAGCACCATGTCTAACATGCAGAGAACACCAGCCCAGGGGGACAATAAGGTTCCCAATTTAGGATGAGCAGACACTGCCAACACTATTTGTCTCACCACATGCCCAGACTGTGGTCTGTCCCCATCCTAGATGGAGGGGGCTGTGCATGCTGGTGGATGGGATATGAAGTAACGACCAATGTTGGCAATATCGTCAGCATTTCCCTGAGCTAGCTGAGTGACAATGGCATGATAACACAAACCTCTGGCTTTCTAACCTTCAGAGTGACACACCTCTTGAGGGGAGGCTGCATGTGGGACAGGTATCAGGAAAAAGGACAGACTCTTTCTCCTGAGCCTGATCAAACCCCAGCCCTGAGATCATGCATTAGTATTCCAAGGGAGCATGACACTTACCATGGCAACATCCGAAAATCCCCTGAGTATTCCTCATACTTGTAGTTTACCACGTGCCAGTCTGAGCTGTAGGTTTTGATGCACTGAAAGGAAAACAATACAGCTCTTTGAAAGCTACACCAAGCAAAACAAAACCATGCACAAGTCTGAAAGGTTACAGACTGCTGGGTGAGGTAAGCACAAGTGGGAAGGGTCTGAACAAGCTGCTTCACTTGTTTTGTGATGCAGTGCAGAATTTCATAAGGAACCTTTTCTGTACAGAGATAAAATCACGCAGCATCTGGCCTGCCACACAGCTACTGATTTTGTATTTACATCACTACAAGGCTTTAAAAAATGAGTAGTGGTTTGGGAGAGGACTGTTTTCCAGAAAGCACCGATTTTCTGACCTTGGAAATGTAGTGTCTCTAACTCAATATTGACCATCACTTGGCATTTAGTTCCACTGCACTTGGAGGGAACAGTCCTAGAAAGTGGCACTTTACAGACCAAACCCATGGTGGCACTTAGGATGCTCCGGGGAGGCTGCATAGTCGCCCCCCGCCCCCCTGCACACCCCACACCTTACAGTTCAGGCAGGCGGTGCAAAGCCACACGCGTTGTCTGCTGCGTACAAAACCCACTGGAAAGAAGCACCACACAAGAGGGACATGTGAGAACTACCTTGTGCGGTCAGCCTGCCAGTGACCAGTGCTTCCCACACAGGAAAAACTAAGTGATCTGCAACCTCATGGTCCAGGAGCTAGGGCAGAGCATCTTGCCTAAGGGAGACAGTGCTGAAGGCAGGCGTTGTGTGGACTTTTGCCCCTACCTCTTTGACAAAGAGACTCTGAGCTTTCTTTAGAGCATCTTCTGGCACTGTAGACTGGACAGTCCTTCTCTGCCGACTGATGACTGAGATCTGCAGGGAAAAGAAGAACATGGTTTTAGTGTTAACTGGGCTTGATACTTGCTTTAAATAAACATGGTGGGCCCAAATCACCAGTGGGTCATTTCGGTTTTATGTGTCAGTAATGCAGCCAAAATCAACATGTGGTTAACAGTGGAAATTTTCCAGGGTAAGCAGGACTGGAGCCGAGAGAATCTCAAACATGAGAAACAGCCTGTGCAAACTCACAGATACATCTTCGATCGGAAATATCAGCAGGTCCCGGAGGGGATCACTGTAGATCTGAACTTTGCGTTGAAGGATCACGTTCTCATAGTCCAAGGGTTCAACCACTTTGGTTTTTTCCTGCAGGAAAAATGGAAGATGACAAAATTTACATATATATATATATATATATATA